GATATTAAATCCGTTTCCAAAAATATCCGGATACGTGCGGACGGGGCAGCCTAAGCCGTTTGACCGAAATTCTAGCACATGATTCCGCCATATTRGATTATATACTTCGCCTCAGCTTCTATGGAAGTCTTGGAGTGCGCATTCGTAATGATTTTACTCGTTGGTAATGTGTATCTAAATATTCCTGAACAGTTTAGAATATGCTTTTTGTTACTCATTCGTATTTCAAAATCAAAACTTCATCTTAAGTAGTGGTAAACAAAGCTTTCGCTCCATCTTAAGCTAAAACTCCGCAAACATTACTAAAGGATTAAGTGATGAACAACAGATACTCGCTAATTCAGGGGACTTCAATTTAAGAACAGTTAACATTGGTCATTGAATACAAGGAGTTTTTAATCTCTTAGTAACGGTAAAAAACAGAAAAAACATTCTACTGTCAACAATGAAGAGCACTATGAAGTCAGAATGTCCCATTTTCATTTTGAACTCCTAGAAAGTCTTAAAATTTCACTGTTTATTTCAAGCCTATTTTGAAAAATATGTTTTCGCTTTCGACACAAAAATCTTTCAATTTGAGGCCCTAAGATTTGAAAMATTTCATTTTCAAGATTGGTTCTGCTTTGTTTTAACTTAAATTTTGTTTAGTTCATAATATTAAAAACCGTAACATATTCCATAGTTCATAATATCAAAAAGCGTAACATATTCCCATGCAATCCACTAACTAAAATAATCTGGTAGCTAAAAACTACGAACCAAAGCTGGCCAGAAGAAAAAGCTTTATCCTTATTGGTGTAGAAGAAACCTTGTTCAGTTTTTGTGGTTTTAAGAGGCCAATTTTGTAAAACATTTATACTTACCTTCCTTCAACTGCCTTAGCCTTGCTTGMAGCAGATACAAGCCTACAGAAATTGCTTCTTTCGCTTGCTGTAGAACAATGAGCCGAGATGATTATTTCATATAACAAAACACAGCGGAAAAACAGGATTGTGTAGGCGTAAGCTATTTGCCAATCACCAACATGCTGTTGCATGTTCGTACAGGAAAGTGAAATCATTGAGTAAGACTTATGTCAACAGGAAGCGAATGAAAAAGGCTTTAAAAGAGTTTCATAACTTACTACACCATGTTGTTTTCCCGAACCAACTTTAAATGACTGTAAAAAAATACCTTGAAAGTCGTATGAAAACCAAAAAGTGAAAATGCCCTAAAATTAGCTGTACCGGAAGAGAATCGTTTTGGCGTGGATGAAACTGAAAGTGAGATTTAAGTGATGGTTCTACTAATGAATCATGCTTAAACGGAATTGAATTTGATTGACAACAAACAGAACAATAAAAAGCTGATCTTCRTTTCTTTGCTTAAGCATTAAGTCTGTCACCGTGATTTCCAGCTTATTTTTGCTAAAAAAAGACCTTTTTGATTGCACGTTTTTGTTGTCATAGTAACTCGTCAAATTTTCAGCCCCAAGGACAAATACATAGACGGAGGGATATAGGGGTGACGCGGAAAGAAACAATATTATTTTCGAAAATACCTTGTTTTATTTATTTTATTTTAGTTTATCATTTTATTGGCAACAATTTCTTCGTTTGCATATGACGTCATAGCCGCCATCTTAGTTGAATTTAACAAAAGAATAGTCAATGAATTCTTTTGTTGTATCAACCAACATTGGCCGCCGTGTCTTTTGTTATTTCATTCTCTTTGGGAATGATTGAATGCCAGCTATAGTAAAATAAGGGCCCGGTCRTTATTTATTGCCTAGGGGGTGATCTGTTCCCCTCTAATTTGTCTGAAAAGTTTGTGACACCCCTCCCTAAATTCTCCCATGCATTCCCCAACCCCCTCCCCCGGCGATAAAAAATGTCCGGTCCCTGAGTATCATCAAAAATAGTAATTTTCATTCATAAATCGACTCGATATAATTTCAAATACGGTTGCTTGATTCCYAGCAGTCAGAGGCCATATGAGAATTGCGTTCAACAACGAAGTGGGCAAACAAATTAGAGTCATTCTTTAAGTGCTTTTTCCTCGTTCTCGGCGCTCGTTGCACCATAAGACGTAGCCGTGTTGCTCATATCATGGCTTGATTCAACATCTTCGTTTCCGTCGACCGGTTGTCGTCGTGGTTCCGTAAGGTTGAGGTATGCCGAAGTCTTGGAGTAGGATCGAGGTTTCTCGACCGCACAAAGGCTGCAGCTACACATGCCCGTATAGCGCTTGCGGAAATAAAAACTGTCAAGACAAAACGGTGTTGGTCGTATTAGAAAGGTGGCAAAACAATGTATGGCTGGTCGCATTTTGCAGGTGGTCGGTTATAAGAGGTCATACCCTACACTGAGCTGTTGACTGTCTAGATCTCTTAAAGGTCATTTGTTTTGCGTCAGTTTACGCAATTATCCAATATTTGATGTTCCGGAGAGTACATGGTTTCAACTTCCTCTCTATACCTCGCCTCCTCTCCCATCGAAAAAGATCAAATAATGAAAYTGGTTCTACCGGTTCAAATTGGATTCGACACAGCAATTTGTATAGGAAATCGCACGAACTCGAGTACAATTTGGAAATTAATAGTCACGAGTAATGTTTTGAAAGTTGTTGTAATTGCATGAGCCTTTAGGCGAGTGCAATTAAAGAACTTTCAAAACATTACGAGTGTCTATTAATTCCAAATTGTACGAGAAGATCGTGCGATTTTTTGTTTATAGTTCACTCGACAAAATTTCAGTAAAAAATGCGAAGCGACGTCGTTCATCTTTGTCTATTTGGCGGCCGATTTTCAGTCCAYCGCGCAACTGAAATGCATAAAAAAGATTAGTTCTTATGGCTTTAAAATTTTATTTATATATTTCTTAAGTACAAAATGATAGAAAATAATTGTTTTAACATTGTTTTGGCCGTGTTGCCTTAGCGACTTAATTCGGTACTCCTACGGAGTACAATTAACGCTATAATTGTACTCCTCTCGACCAATCAGAGTCGAGTAATTTTGTTGAGTGTACTATAACAAACACAAAAACGTTGTGACAAGTGTCAATAACAGGGCTTAAGATACTTACAAGAATGATAAAATCCAAAAAGTAAAGACGACTAGAACAATGACCGCTACTATCCAAATGCTACATGGAGGAAAACAATCGACATTAGCAAGAGTGTAATACTTAGATTACCAACTACTGACAAGGAAATGCGTATATGTAGAGGATGAATATATATGTTGGATAAAAAGGGGGATTTAGTTTACTTCTTTTCTCTCAAAATCAACCCTAACTAGTTCAAACTGGTTAGAGCTGTGCTCCGAGGTCATACATGGACTGTATAGCGGCTGCCAGAGGCGCCTTGACATGCTTTCAGTTCGACCCTGTTGAGCTGCGCCACTGCTGTAATCGTGGTGGTGATTAGCAATGACGAATTTTTTTTTTATTTTTTATTTTTTTGTAGTAGAGAAACACGGATTGAATAATCTTAGAGTAACAAGCCAAGCACATACTTGAGTATATTCAATAGAGGCACGGCCAAGCAGGTCCATACGCCACCACCCATGAACGGTGAATGAAGCAACTGTTTGAACGCAAAGTCAGCTGGTACTGGAGTACGAGACTCTGGATCGACCATGCGCAATAGAACAAGACCTGTAGCTATCACTCCGGTATTCATCCCAAAGTCTGCGATACCACGTTCGAACCTACAAACAAACGATTTAGCCATTTTGAGAACGGTGTATTGGACATACTAGGAATATCCGAGATGGGAAAACATTACCCCTCAAACCGATCAAAAACGGCAGGGCCGGATTAAAGTCAGTCTTGTTTCAACTCCTTTAGATAAKAGTTCGCCTGGGTGGATACCTGGTTTGAGGGGGGAGGGGGAGGGGAGGAGGTTTTCCATGCATTGCCAGTTTTTCTCTTCCTTCCCGATGCCAGCAATGAAGGTTAGATAACTATATAGACTTCTTGGGGCGTATTCGTTTCCCATTTCATACCACGTGTCATTCCCTAGAGTATCATTTCTTTATTTAATGGCTGCGCATGAGAAGACACATGAATATGGATACAACTCAAATAAAGAATCTTATTCGCAAGAGAATGACATGTGGTCGTCTGTATTGGGAGAACAYTACACCCATACAAGCTAAAGAGGTATATTGACGAGAACACTTCTTTACAAAGAAATATTTACCAGTGGTTGGGCAATAAGAATCGTGCAAATACCCCAAGCATGATGAAGTTCCATATAAAACCACTGGTRCAGAGGATGAGGAGAGGTCCGATGTCAACAGCTACGGCAGCCACGTCCACTGTTGCTACAGCTGACGTGATGAGGAAGTCAAGGGATGATGAAGCGATTCTTTCCATCATTGATGCGTCGACCAGGTCGTTGAGAGTGTCTATCCTTTCGATGATTAACTAAAGAAAAAGCCGGGTTCACTAGGTGTAAAAGTAACTTATTACTTTGCCATTTACTATATTAAATTTTCCTTAAAATTACCGTCATCTTAATCATGATTGTCGTCAGCGTCATCGTGCATCATTATCAATGGGCATTATAATCATCATCATTACCATTACCGTCGTCATCATCATCATCATGCATCATCATTACCATAATCATTACCATCATCATGATTACCATCACCTTCATCATCATGCATCATCATTACCACCGTCATCATCACCATCACCTTAATCATCATGCATCATCATTACCACCATCATCATTACCACCATCATCATTACCATCACCTTCATCATCATGCATCATCATTGCCATCTTTACAATCACCATCATCATGCATCATCATTACCACCGTCATCATGCATCATCATTACCACCGTCATCATTACCATCACCTTCATCATCATGCATCATCATCGTCACCATGTCATCAAATGCAACATACCTGCATCACGATTCCTCCAGCCATGCAGAAAGGAAACAAAGGAATACCAGACAAAAAGTTCAGTTCTTTCAATTTACTGGACGTGCTTTCGATAGCAATGATCCCTTGCTTGACACCATAACCGAACAGCATGGCGATGCCTAATACTGCTAAGTGCAAAGCAAGAACATCGATTGAGCTTGCACGAACAGTCTGAATACCAGCCAGTGGTCGACTACCGACGGCATACACGCCTCTGAAATAGAAAAAAGTCTATTAAATCACGCTATTTCTAAAGATWGCGTCAGTGGTCACACRCCCTACAGTTTGACAACAATCATGAYACATCTAAAGTATACGCTGCACACTTGACGCTGTCAATGATAATATGGTGATGATGGTAATAATGATGGTAATGATTATTAAGGTGACGGATGATGACGAAAGTGTTGTTGGTGGTCGGGTTGTCAGTCATGATGGTGATGAAGACAGTTGTGACGATGATGTTTGATGTTTGATGATGCATGATTATGAACGTGCAAATAGGAGGCCTTCTTTCTCGATTCCTAACACAGTTCATCACCAGCAAGTCAATCACACCAGAATTTCCACATACCTGATGGATATTTTAACTTCCTG